CCCCCCCCAAAGCACTTTAAGTCTGTCTTCGGCATTATCAAACTTGAAGATTAGCCAGCGACTAGCATGAACTGAGTATTTATATTTTTCCTTCCACGAGTCACAAAGCTGTGGAAGAGCCATCTTGCCTTGAAAACGTCCTGCAATATAACCCACCCCACCAGACTGAAACCCCAAGCATTTTCAACGCCGTGTACATCATCATTCTCAATAACCACAACCTGCAGGAGATTATCAATGGTTTCAAGTTCATTCCTTCGTCTTGCTTCCTATTAACTTTGAATAGATTGACACGGGGAGAATTTGATGGAATGGACTCTTGATCTTGAGGTTCATCAACCGACTGTACCGAGGCCGTGTCTTCAGCACCAAGTGTTCTGGAAACACTTGGTGAGTTAGCGCATAACTCCCAGAACACTTGGTGAGTTAGCGCATAACTCTTCCCAAAACGAGGCAGAAACTTGGCCATCATTCTTGGAAGAAAGTGGCAGAGAATCTACCTTGCTAAGTTTCTGAACAACTCCAATAGAGGTAGAGTCTGCAACAGCTGGGGTCACGAGCGATTTTCTTAGTTGGCACTTCAGGTTTTGTCTTTCGCATACTTTGCTGGCCTGCTTTCTTCTTCCCCATTGTTGCTGAATAGAACTAGGAAGAGACCCCAGTTGGCTGAAATTGAGTTCTGGAGTCGAGACCCAAAACTGACCGAACCAAAAATGAGCACTGCCAGAGCCCGTAATCTGAAAAAGAACTGAAACTTAAATCTGGTCATGCTGATAAAAATAGTTGTTTCCAGATCTAAAATACAGCCCAAAGATGATGGAGATCGAACCAAGAACTCAAGATTGCAAGAGGCATCCAAGTGATTGTTTCTCTCACTAGGGTTAAGAGTTTCTCTCTGGGTGATTCTTATTGCTATTTCTGGGAGCGGGATGATGAAAATACAATCTTAGATGCAGAACTGAAACAGAATAGGAGCAATCGAGAAGGTGACCAGTTGAAAAAGCTTGAAGATCTTGTTGAGGACATCAAATTTGTAGTTGATTATTTGCAGACAGAAGCAAAGAGACGAGTGGAAAAGCACTTTACAGATAAGGTAACTCGTAGATGTCCTACAGGATTCAAAACATTAGGATGAGATTGAATGATAGTGTTTCAAATTCAGAAATGTTAAATTTCAGTATGCCTGATCAAAATACGTCACTTGTTCATACCAATCTTTCAAGGGGCACCACTTATTGGTTGGGTGAATCAACAAATATTTTCGGAAGAGATTTAGCTTTGATCAGGGTGAACGTGATGTTATGCCACTCCAACATTGTATTCTTTGTAATGATTCTTATTGCTATTTCTGGGAGTGGGATTGCGAATGGCAGCATGGTCCTTCAGATCAGGACTGAGGGTATTGGTGATTCATATGCATTGCTAGTATTATATAATTACTTGCTCAATGTACATACCGTGTCATTATCCCAGTTGATCATTTTATCTATTATAGTATTTTTCTAATTTTTTACTTTTTCACTAGGCACTGTACTCGGAGCTAACTCAGAAAGCAGCTGAACTTTCAGCAGAAAATCAGCATTTGAAGAGGGTTGGTAGCATTCGTTTTCCCAATTTATTTTTGGGCATCTAACTTGATGGGAAACAGTACTGGAAAAGTCATATCGCTTCTTCTAATATTTTCTCATTTGTGTTTCTTGAACTTGGTCACATTCCATTTTCTTACGCTGATTATTCAACTTTTTGATGAAGGAAAAGGAGGTGGCCATAAAGGAGTACAATTCCTTGAAAACCAAAAATGAATGTCTCAAAGTACAGGTAAGGAACACGGACGAAAGTTAGTGGTCTTCTCATTAGGAAATATCTTCAATATTGCCTTTTCCCTTTGCAGATGGCTAAGATAACAGAGGCTAAAACCAAAGAAATTCAAGAAGAGTCAACGTCTGCCCTGGCTGAGAAATCTGCATCTACATCAAGAACCCCTCCAGTTTTCCTCTGCAACCATCTTTTTGGATTACCTGTCTTTTGGCCACCCGTTGGTCCATCATCAGATGTTCCCCAAGTTCAATGTACATTGTATGATGATGCCGCCGTGTCATCACAACTTCCTCTACGACTGAGGGATATTCCGTGTTCGCATCCAGCAAAAGACAACTCCACGAGTCTTAATAAGCCAGGAGCTCCTCTATTTGTATTTCCTGTACCTTGGCCTTTTCCGTTTCTCTCTCATAGTAGTACAGTTAACTCCCAGTCAGCCCTCAACTACAGACAAAATGATAATTCACCCAGTTTCCGATGCTGCACGTGTTCCTCTTCAGATACTCTGGTGCTTGCAGATAACTACCAATTGTTGCCAACCACGAAAAAGATGCCAGAAGCTTCCAGTTCTATGCAAATCGCATCTCTAGGAAATATCCCTGGAACCAGTTCTAGTTTTCCTCCAGGTGATGGTGGTCAGCAATTGGAGCCTCAACCTAAAGGGGCTATCCATGTTTCTGCAACACCAAATTGCACGGGACGGACAGCAAGCTTTAGACGTCGTACAATTGCCCAGGTAGATGATTCGTCTGGTGTCGAAGCTCTTTCTTCTGACCCTGAGCATATGGCACAGGCTTTGCTGAAAAATGAAAAACTGATTATCTGTTCTAATGGGAAGTCAAAGGGCAACATTGCTTCAACTGAGGCCAGGAGGAAGAGGAAGGAATTGCGAACACTGAAGAAACTCCATTGCCGTTAAAATGGTACAAGCAGTAAAGATTCTGGCAAGTGCTAGTGAAGAATACAACATCGTATTCTCTCCTCTCAAGACAAGGACCAGAATATCTAGCCCTGGTGCCGCAAATTGTATTCTCTTAAGATATTTCGTGTCTATATCCTTCAGATGGGAAGCTAGTTGTAAATTAATCTTTGACGTATATCTAGATAGATCTCTGTCTTGTAAAAATGCGGAAAATTTAATAGAAAGCTTTTGTCAATGATGCTTTTCTATGAATCTTTGACCTTGTACTTCAGATTGTCTGGGTAATTTAATAGAGTAGAACACATAATTGCTTTGACAAGCAAAATCTGGCATAATATGGGAAATCATGTATGATTTTGTAAGAATCACACAAGTCAATTGGAAGTCAGACGAAAACTTGTGTCTTCAATTCTCGGTTTAGTGCATTGCGACATTTGGTTCTCTTCGTTTTTGAATTGTGTTCTGCAATTATCCAGCCACTATTCGTGTAAGAAAATCTGTGGTGTGATTTAATAGGACTTGATTTCATCTGCTAATTCAAAAAATTACAATAAGTTCAAAGGAAGTTACATGTTGAGTTCCTTTGTTATATTTGCAGAAGCATGAAATCTTGAAAATGTAGCATTACATTGAAGAGCACGTGGAATACTACGACCTGAAGACGAGAATAGGACTCCTAACATTATGCTTGGAATCACTCCAGACTATTCTCCCGGAGAGAACCCATGAACTCTCCCTAAGAAATTTTCCCTTCACCATCACTTTGAAAGACCTCTTCTGGTTTGGGCTGTCGAAAGTCATAATTTTCGGTACAACCGTGACAGAAAGACCCTTTGGAGACCTAATGCTTGCTCTGTAGACTGATTTTCCAATACCAACACTAGTCACAGTACGATAAAATACCTCCGAAAAGGAAGTTTTAGAATTGTTCAGATAAACATGTATGGATGGATAGTTTAACCCGTCTGCTCCTTTCCCAACAGGGAAGCTTGAGCATTTGTACTTTTTGTTGCCAGTTAACATTGCTATAGCTGAGCTGTTGTATCCTTGTTTGCAGAGAAAGCTAATATAATCCTCGTATTGAATGTCATAAACTAGACCAGGGTGCAATGCGACTCTTGGATTTATTTGACCTGACCCAGAGGCCAATTCTGCCCCCACTGGTTTGATCTTCATGCATTTTGCTGCAGCAACATGTCAACATTATAGTCGGAAAATAAACACTTAAGAGGTATGAAACTACCTCGACAAATTTAGGAGCTTACCGGTGGTCATTAGAGCAGACTTGATTGCAGCCACGGACCAATCAGGATGGAAGGATTTGACATAGGCTGCTGCTCCCGAAGCGTGAGGGCAAGCCATTGATGTACCGGATATAATATTGTACTTCACAACCCTTTTGTCACCTGGTTCCCCTGTCATTGTTGTCAATTCAGAATAGGCTGCCAAAATATCTAGCCCTGGTGCAGCAATATCAGGCTGTTTGACGAAAAAACTTGGTTAAGAAATTGTAAAACAGAAGGAAAAATTCGATTACCCAGGAGAAGTATATTTACCTTGAGGATGTTTGAACACAATGTTTGGGGACCTCTTGATGAAAATGAAGCAACGAAAGGTGCTGTCATGTTTGCTGTTATCGTTTTGGAAATAACGGCTTGCGCAGACCTGAAATTAAGACAACTCAAGAAAATGATGATATTTTTAATAACTTGCAGACAGTACAACAAATGGAAATACTATGACAAACCTTGTGGAATTGATGTACTTATCGATCTTCTCACCATCGTTAACACTGACAAAAGTGCCCGGTATCAGATTAGGGAAGGCTATGTCTGTTACAAATTCAGTTGACATGATAATCCCGGCTCCACCTAAATCGCAGATGGTGGAGTCTTGACCGCCATTTCCTAAGCAATACATAATTTTTCCCTTAACTTTATTCTGATTCAGCGTCCCATAATCGCAGGCACTGTGACAGGACCATATATATCAGTAGCTATATATCTGCATTAGCCATTTGTTTAAGAATCTACCTGCTATTTCCAAATGGATCTCCAGACATATTTTGCGCATGTGCTCCATTCGTTAAAGAGTACATACGTTCTTTTGGTTCAAATGTATTGATTGCAATGCCCTGTGAAGAGAAAATGAATTATGTTATAGAATAACAGATGAAGGATTTTGAGTATGTGGAGGAAGTAGAAGAGATCTACAGTAAAAGTCTCTCCATTGCCCAAAGTAACAGGGGCTTCAAATCGTCTGTCGATGCTAGTAGCAGCTACAGTCAAGATCCATGGTGCAACATTTTCTATAGATTCCAAATCAGGTCCATCATTTCCTGCTGCACATGAAGTAAAGATTCCCTTCTTCATAGCATGGAAGGATCCAATAGCAATTGGATCTTCGAATAAATTCCGAGGGTACCCTCCTAAGGATACCGATATGATATCGACTCCATCGGCAATGGCGGCGTCATATGCCGCCAATATGTCCATGTCTGTGCATCCCATAATCCAACATACTTTGTATATAGCAAGACGGGCAGATGGAACTCCACCACGAGCAGTGCCTTTGGCAATGCCATATAAGCTTGCACCATGTACAGAATTCCCTGCAACAGTCGACGCGGTGTGGGTTCCATGTCCATCCAAATCAGCCGGAGACTTCTCTTCCTCTTGTCCATCGTTTTGAAGTTTGAAGAACTGAGCACCAATGACTTTGCTGTCAAAAGAAAATAGACTCACTGTCAAATACACTAGCAATTCCCCCAAATTGGCATGGATCAAATTGTACATGACTAGCTAAGTGAATATATATTTGTAGCAGGTCCATAAGGGAGACTTACTTGTTGCATCCAGTGAAGTTTCCAGCCTTTACGCATTTGCCTTTCCATTTAGCAGGAGGAGGTCCAAAACCTTTATCATTGAAGCTAGGGGACTCTATCCATATCCCTAGAGCAAAAAATGAAAAAGAACCAAAAATAAGCATAAGTTGGAAAAGAAAAGCGTAAGTAGAAATCTTAAAAAGAGCAAATTCGACTTTTACCAGTATCCATGAGAGCCACAATCATATCACTCTCAGTTTCCTGTTTCCTCCTCACCGTCAACGGCATTCCAAGAAAATCCCAGGATCTTGTCGTGAGAAGCTTCTGCACCTTGTTTTGAAATACAGAAACAACTCCCTCTTTCTCTGGAAACGTAAATCAATATCGAAAATGAAATGGTTCAAGAAAACTGTAAAAATCAGAAGATTTAATACATTGTTATATACTCGTTAATAATCCCGCTTCATGAGGCAGTAGTTTTGCCACAAATCCATTAAAGCTTCTTCCATAACTGTGTATCTTGGAGTTTTTAGCTATTAGTTCACTGAAAATACAGAAACAAGAAAAATTAAACAAATTTTCTTTCATATTTCAGTTGATCTAAAAGGCGTTCTATAGTATTTATAGATGTTATTATTACTCTCCAATAGTTTCAAAAAGAAGCCTGTGGTGTTCATCCATCAAGAATTTCGTGTCCTCTGGCAATTCTCCCATGTAAACAATATAAGGCTGCAATCAAATAAAGTACTTTCAGAAATCACTCCAGTTAGATACAAGTTTTCTTATAGTATAAAAATTACCTTTCGTTCTTCCTCGGCATGGGATGCAAAAATACAAAGATTGAAAAACAAGAAAAGGAGATTATTCTTTGATGTCTTCATGACAGTTCGTCTCGGTGTTTTCTGTGTTGTGCTTTGTGCTTCTGCGTGGTGAATTAATAGAAATGCAAAAGAGAGAGTGAGAATTAATAGGCATTTAATATGGATCTTCATCTGCGACTAGATTCATTTAGGCCTCTACGTTAATTATTTACCACACAGATTTCATGCACAGTTCCATGCACGGATCAACTTGTACACGTATATACACACAATAACTATGGTAAAAAATATTATTACCAGCCCAAGATAAAAGTAAAAAAATATGTATAGCTCACCGCATCAAGCCTCGACTCGACTCGACTCAACTCAATCTACAAGAGCTGCAAATCAAACTGTAACTTTTTTATTTATTTTTTTTAAAAAAATTTTTGGATCTAAAATAAGCCGTAATTAGTCCCTGTTTGGTTCAGCTAAAAAATTGGATTAAAGTTCAAATCAAAGTTAGCAATTAATATTTGTTGAAAGTAATGTAAACTTGACCAAGAGAACTCTAGAAATACAAGGAAGTTCAAAAATATCAAGTTGATGACTTAGTCAAAATGTAACTTGATTAAGCAAAAAATTTTATTGGATAGAAGAATTTTAGACGGCGAAGGAAAAGCTGGTCATTGGTCGAGAGTTTTTAAAGAAGTTACGTAACCATTTTGAACTCTTCTTCTAAAGAAGGTGGAAGTTACTTAAGCATCTTAAACTCTCCTCTATCAAAGGATATGAAATAAGGTTACTTGCCTCAATTGACTTCTTCTATTAAAGGAGGTTAATGAAACTTACTTGATCAACTTAAACTCTTAATTTTTTCCTATAAATAGATGTATTGTTATGTATTGTAAACTATCGGGTAGAAGAGAAAATTCTATATTTGTATAAGAGAGTTGTAATTCTATATTTGTATAAGAGAGTTGTTGAGAGAGAATTGCTCTATTGTACTTGTTATATATTGTGCGACTAATGAAAATTTGTTGATTTGAGTGAAAAGTGATATTCTATCACCATTTCTACCCATCAATATTAACTATATTTTATGGAATCCACAACTTTTAAACCACACATTCTATCAACTTTTATCAAAATCTACTAAAATTTGATTTTTATATAAACCAAACAAGAGCTTAGTGACTTATTTTTAATCTTACTACTCTTAGTAAAACGAATTTAAGTTATAAAAAACACTATGCAAAAACGATTGACTGATCTATGCAGAAGATACTAGTCTAAGTTTACATAATCCCCGTTTTTATGAAAGTATATATAGATATACCATAAATAGTGCAAAATTACAAACCATACACGTATCAACCCATTTTACATGTGAAAATTGTAATGCTTTCATAATCGACCCGAAGAATAAGAAGCTTGGTGAAGCCTTAATATCAGACAATTATTTGATAGTTAACCTGTCTATATTTTGGTCACTTGAATAATACATACCGGACGTGGATGACACACACACACACATTTATATATATATATATATATTCCAATTATGTTTGACAAAAAGAAAAAGCTTTTACTTTTCAAACCTAAAATAAAATATGGGAATG